GCCTGATCCACTGCGGAAGGTGCCATCCTACCCCTCATAGGCCATCTCATGGTCCCGAGATGCCTCCTTCGCCCTCTTCTAGAAGCCACAAAAGCCGTAGATATCATCCTTGTACTCTCTACCTCGGTAATGGCAATCATCTACTCCGCAGTTGTCAGGACCCAGCGCTGAGGGTCTCAACCCCAGACCCGATCCGATCTGATTTCGATCCGACGAGCATCCCTGTAGTCTGTACGGAGTATCTGTACACCGATATATCCACAGGATACGGCGATCATTGATACTACCTAATCGTCTCGGAAGAAGTGGGGTCATCATCCCCCACCGTACTCCGTACGCAACGGTAAAGGGCGGCCTGATATGGGGTCTCTGGAGTAGAGTACGTATCTATGCCTGAGAGTACTGTCGACAATTGTAGCATACCTAATCAGTTTCTTCAGTCGTTTCTCTCTCTATTCAGGTGCCTTCTTGAAAGTGTACTGCTCTCTATAGGCTATTGTAGAAATTGTGGTAAAAAAAAAAACAGTCACGACAAGTGGACTTCCTGCCTTTCTTCCTATTTAACGTGCAGTAGTACATTTACCTACCTGGTAGACACTTACTGAAATGAAGAGAAGAACCATTGCATTGCTGTTATTGTAGAATATCTGTCCACTTTGAAGGACACACGACCAAGAAGTGATGTGCTTGTAATGCATTGCACCATTCATTTCTTGACTCTTTCAGATGCAAAACTTGAGATGTCATGAGCAGAAAGTGCTTTCTTGAAGAAGTTTCTGCTTAGAGAAAAATCGTTGTAGATAAGAGCTGCAAGGGCAGCAGGGCGACGTAGAAATGAATATAAACATCTTTCCACCATCATCAGGTACAAACTTGAACGCATCTACCTTACCACGGCATTACCAATATCCACGGCAATATAAAACCCATTCCAATGACTGCTCCAGAATAACCAAACGGCATAACTGAACTAGTAGAGAGTTCGTTTAAACTATTTGTTACCCTTGCAAGATCAACCATTGTAACTGATAAGAACAACCAACACCTATATCCCTGATATAGATTTTAAATCCATAGAAGCAGTCTCATCAGCGATCCGGACCCTTCATGTTTGATGCGAATCTCGACCACATGGCGAACAGAGCAGCGTGGTATACTCCTTCAAATCCGCACTCAACAAGCCATCATCAAGAAGACTGGATAGCATAGCGTGGTGTTAGATATATCCTCATCCATTCTAGCACTGTTTAATGCAAAACACTGCAAGTAGCTATATCGGGATATTCTCCAGAACTGCTGGCTGGCTCTGAGCAAGTGATTGAAGACAGGAATGGTTGATAGAGTATTATTATGGAGCAAGCTGCAGGGGCTACCCGGAAATGACACTTCATTGATGCCCAATCAACACTCGTGAGATCCAGCGAAATATTTCCTTGTTCAGGGGCTACTGTCTGATCTAGATTATCGAACTGAAGGGCCACAAGTGGTACGTTGACCTGCAGTTCTATCCTGAGTATCTGAGTAGAGTGCTTGCTCTCAGCAAGACGTTCCTGGGCTTCTTTGCGGCGCAGTTGGCTGCCTGGAGGAAATCACAGAGAAGTTCAAGGATCGGCACGATCTCAGCCATCAGGAGATCAGGGTGGGCAGTGCCACAGCAAAGGTCAACAGGGCTTAGGTGGCTAGGCGTGCAAACAGCAAGAGACGGGCTGGCTCACGGATTGATTTAAGCTTGGGTCTCAGGATATTGAAAAGCATAGTGCTTTCTTGTTGGATTATGCAGCTCCTTCAGGCGTAATTCGGTAACAAATCTACCTTGGAGCAGGTAACATAGATATAGGAGTACTTCGATTTAAAGTCAAAGGGCTTAGAGGATTATATACTTTGATTGTATAGGTATTCCTTATTAACAACTGAATATGGAAATCCTTAAGGGCCTAAAGATTTTCCCAATATCAGTAGATTTTAAGATGCTACTACGATAATTAAAATAGTGACAATACGGAGTATACTTGGGATACTGGGTAGTATGTAGTAGAGATTGGGCAATTATCCAAGTTGGGTCTAAGCTGGGTTAATAATCTCTCACACAGATTATGGCTGCCATTGGTCAATGTTCTGTCCTTACTTAATCCTTGCTGAATGGAAGCTGAAAAATTTTTTTTTTAAAAAAAAGAAATCTTATCCACTCGATGATAGATAATTACTGCTGCATGCTTTGCAGGTACCTGTTACGTGTCGATACTACATAGGTACCTAGCAATGTGTGATTCATCTTCTCTTCCGGCCTTATCAGGCAGCAAACTGTACAGTACGGTATAATCCCATAGTCCATATGGAGCACAAGAATCGGGGAAACGATCCGATACAAGATGATCTACAGAGAACTGCAGCGTCCAGAGTAATCAAGATCCATTCAAGCTGGAATCCCCGAGTCCTGTGAAACATTGTGGTGGTCCCCCTGCAGGGTCAGCCAATCGGGTACCGGGCTGCAAGTCTGGTTGCTTATCCTTGGCGCAACTCCCGCCGGAAATAACAGCGTTGTCTGTCAATCTTAATCTCTGCCACAATTTGCCTTCATTTTTGGAACAAGTTGCATGACAAAGGAGCGAAATATGCACGCATTGATAAATCTGGTTGGTCTATTTGGAAATAATCAAACAAAGACGAGCATGAAAAGACAGGGCACTATTCAGATTCTGTCTCGCTTAAGCTGAGATTTCAATTACTGTACTCTGTACGGAGTAATGATGAGAATAGTGATGACAGTCCATATGCGGTTTCCAGGGGCTGTGGGAGGACTAGGAAGAGACATCCTGCAAATGATGTGCTTTGAGGCAGCGAAAAAGAGGAGAAACGCAAGCTTCCCCTCGCAACCTGAAGTCTGTCATATCGCCATACCTATCTCAGTCCACAGACTTTCAGCAGTCCCGGCGCCAAGCTTTCTGGAATAATGCGCCTATCACGAGTTCGAGAGAAGCTCGAATCCATGCTCACTGAAACTGCACCTGAAAGTCAGCCGGAATAACCTAATCACAGTCCGACAAAGCAGCAGGATCCTGGAGCTCCTAGGACACACGCAGTGGCCGACAGACGCTCCAGTCTCGATAAGGAAGGACATAAGATCGAATAACGACACCAATTTTAGTGACTCTGACAGACCAAAACTGCTTCTTCAAGTCGAATCCTAATTCCCACCATCGTTGTCTTTCTCCCAATTACAGCTCTTGGGGGCGGGTGCGCGAAGGAACCCAGCCACCGGGCAATTTCCCTCCACTCATTTTTTGCCCCCTTTTTATCTTCTCAAATTCGGCCTGCAGAAATGAGCGCAACGTCTTCATTGGCATTGCCAGTGAACTAATACTATGACTACTCTGTAGGTATGCTGATCACAAGGAGCTCTGGCTGCTGGCGATCGCGTGGCGAAGCGAAGAGACTCGATACCAGGACAAGAGCCTATGGAGAGGCAGAAGGATACACGCCAGCTGCAAAATTCGAGTGCGACCGCATGGCGGACTCGTCATTCGGCAGCAATTGGCTCTTGATGCTGGGGTTTCACGGCTAGTTAGTAGCAGGCTACTGCCACTCGCTGGATGGGAAAAAAGAAGCACATTAAGCCGTAGAACGATTTCGCGAGACTTGAGTGCAGTTTGCTGTTATCGCACGAGGGATATATTACTCGCAGGAACTTGTGCCACAGTCTCGTCTTCCGGATTATTCTGACGCGCTTCGTTGTCCTCAGTCCACAGCGCGCCTACTGCCTATTGGTGCCAACTGTATGAGACAGGACGGTGCTTGCGCAGCAACATCACCATCATCCCGGACCAGTGGCTTGGGGCAGGTAAAAAAAAAGGCACTAAATCCACTGCGAGGGCTCAAATGAATGGGTGAAATGGTGAATGGGTTAATATCGCTCGGCCGGCCGACTGGTTGCGCCGCTGGCTGGCACCCCTCCTCCACCCAATCAGCCCCGTGCGGGCGTGCCCGGTGGTGAGCTTCTTTGCTGGACGACCACCACGCCGACTTGGGCCTGAACCCTCTGCTTGCTCATCCTCTCCATCCCTGTATGCTTCCTCTTTCATCTCCCTCGAACCTGCATGCAGGCCGTCAATCCCCCGGCAGAGGCTGGCACTTCTCTTTGACTCTTTTCGACCCTGCGAGCCCTCGCAATCTCCGCTGCCGTCGGGCTGTGTGAACCCCCCCGCGCCTGGCTCAGCCCGTTGACGTTCCACGTGCTGCGAACACCTCATTCTCTGACCACAGCCGCCTCCCCGTCCATCCCCTTGCAGCCTGCATCTGCCCTGCTCTCGCTTGAGTAACTCACGACTCCGAATCCAGCCATCCTGCCACACGGGCGTCGAGAATCCGCATCACGGTCCTCTCGCGAAACGTCCGGAACCCCGACTCGAATCGAACACCGTCTCCTGCGCAGTGGGCCGCCGTCGCTTGCCGCAGGCTGGCTGCATCTGCTGGTCGAGCACCCATCATCATCATGGATCACGAAAATTCCACTGCCTTTAAATTCCGTCGGGCCAGCAGCAAGCTGCATAAGGACCCTCCTCCACAGTTCAATTCCTCCCGGGCCCTGAAGAGTCAGCAAAGCAACCCGTCGCTCAAGAGACACCCCTCCGCCCCAGTCTACCCGCGCTCCCACGCCGCCAACAGCCGCGAACACCTGCGCACCCGATCCAACGCTTACGGCTCGTCATCGTCGTCTCTGGACCAGAACAGCGCCGACTCCAATTCTTCTCAATCCCGTCCTCCACATGCCGGACGCCTGTCGTTGACAAATCGAAGCTCAGATGAATTAGTCGGCGCCCCGTTTGATGCGCGGGGTATGCTCAACGCCCTCGACGAGTCCACAACCCCAGCGCAGCAAAGGCAGCAGCAGCAGCAACAACAACAAGAATCTTCCTTTCGCCGCCCTCCTCTGCCGCACTCCCATCATACCAGTCCGGCACTGAGACAATCGGCCAGCCACACGGCCTTAAATCCCCGAATGGACACAGCGCTTCCCCAGATCCAGGATGCCGCTCCGAGCTCGAAGAGAAATTCCGACGAGGGCAACACCACCAAGACGAGGAAGAAGAGTGGCTTTTCCAATTTTGTGAACAGCATGCTGGGTTCTCCGCGGAATATCAAGATTTCTGCCCCAGAGAACCCTGTCCATGTCACCCATGTCGGCTATGACAATCAGACCGGCCAATTTACGGTATGTTTTGTTCTCCGTTGCAAGCCGTATGAAATCTGATTGATCGCCAAATTTGCTAATTGGTTTTTTTTTAACTCTAGGGCCTCCCCAAAGAATGGCAGCGGATATTGCAGGCCAGCGGAATCTCAAAGAAGGAGCAGGAACAACACCCGCAAACGATGGTGGATATCATGCGATTCTATGAAAAGAATGCTACGGGGCAAAATGAAGATGAGGTCTGGCACAAATTCGAGCATGCATACAAACCAGATTTCCCCAGTTCGAATCAGCAACCGGATGGGTTCAGTCCTACCAACAGTCCGGTCGCGACAGTGACCTCTCCTTCAACAAGCCCTCGTTTCCCACAAAACCATGAAGGGAGCTTCGAGAACCCACGCGCACCACCACCAATTCCCCGCGCTGCGCCTGCTGCGACTGCAGCTGCGCCAGCAGGTTCCCTGGTTCCGACTCGTGCAGCTCCAAAGCCCCCGGGTGCTGGTGGGAGTCTTGTTCCCTCTCGCCCTGCTCCACAACCTCCTACTACGAATACTCGCCCCGGCGGACCTTCGACGACGACGACGACGCCGCCGCCGCCTATTCCCGAGGATGGACCAGCCTTCACGGACGGCCCGCGGAGCGACGCAACCTCGCCCACTGCCCAGCGCGTGCCACCTGCTGCCACCCAATACCAGCAGCAGCAAGAGCGCTCCATCGCCGCAGCCCAGCAAGCCATGGCGGACAAGCAATTGGACCGCAGCCGCAGTCTGCGCCAACAGGCCCAGCAGCATCCAGCTTCGCGACCTGAACAGCAGCCAGCGACGACGACGACGACGACCACGACCACGACTACCACCACCACACCTCAAACCCCACAGCAGCAATTCGCTCCTTCTGCAGGCCAATCCGCAGTACCCCAACCGCCTCCGCACCAGGTGCCTGGATCTACCGCCCGCCCGCGACCTCGCGCTCGTCAGAGCAATGCTTTTGATGTGCGAGCCAAGCTGCAGGCGATTTGTACTCCCGGAGACCCCACAAAGAAATACTACAACCTCAACAAGATCGGTCAGGGAGCATCGGGAGGCGTGTTCACCGCGTACGAGAATAACACCAATAGATGCGTTGCCATCAAGCAGATGAATCTGGATCTGCAACCGAAGAAAGATCTGATTATCAATGAGATTCTGGTCATGAAAGACAGCAAGCACAAGAACATTGTCAATTTCCTCGACAGCTACTTGCATGGACTGGACCTGTGGGTCGTGATGGAGTATATGGAAGGCGGCAGTCTTACGGATGTCGTCACGTTCAATATGATGACGGAGGGACAGATTGCGGCAGTATGCAGAGAGGTACGGTCTTGGGATTTCCATTATCCTATCCGAGGACGTCAGGGCTAACTGTCTTCTCAAAGACCCTCAACGGTTTGCAGCACCTGCATTCCAAGGGTGTCATCCACCGGGATATCAAGTCAGACAATATCCTCCTCTCGATGGAGGGCGACATCAAACTCAGTAGGTGAACACAGGTCGTTCTATCGAAGCCCTTTCTGACATGGCACAGCCGATTTCGGTTTCTGCGCCCAAATCAATGATTCGCAAAACAAGCGCAACACCATGGTCGGAACACCATATTGGATGGCACCCGAAGTTGTCACGAGGAAGGAGTATGGTCGCAAAGTCGACATTTGGAGTCTCGGGATCATGGCTATCGAAATGATCGAAGGCGAACCTCCCTACCTAACGGAGTCACCACTTCGGGCTTTGTACTTGATCGCCACCAACGGCACACCCAAGATCAAAGACGAGCATAACCTCTCTCCAATGTTCAGGGACTTTTTGCACCTTGCGTTGCGGGTAGACCCCGAGAAGAGAGCTTCGGCACATGATCTGCTCAAGGTACGGATGAATCTTGCATGACCATCACTTCACTTTTATTAACTTTACCTCGTAGCATCCTTTCATGTCCATGTGCGACCCACTTTCCAGCCTTGCCCCTCTGGTGAGATCAGCCCGTATCAGCCGAGCCCAGGAAAAGGCTCAGAAGGGAGGTGCTTGAAATTTCAGCTGCGACTGAGTTGTCACCAGCTTCTCGACGACTTCGACTCATCTTTATACCCCATGCTTCCGTCGCAGCCTCGGGAGCTTCGTTTGCCAGTATATTAATTCCCCAAACCCTTGTGATTGTTTCTTCTTGTCCATCTTCTTCAAGTTATAGACGGCGATACATGCATGACACTACGATTTCCCCCCCCTCCTGGTTCACATGTCTGGGCCGGAACCCCCTGTTCTCTTTCGGTTGATGAAATTATTCTGTATCTCTGCTATGTAGCGTCCCTTGAGGGTTTTCATTTCTTTGACTTTTATTTTCTGGTGATATGTTACGCGGGTGAAAAGTGCGTCCCATTCCTGCTGGCTTCTCGAGGTATCCCAATGGTTTTGATCTTTCCCCTTCTTTCTACCGTGCTCACGACCGGGTGGTTTCCAGGGTTTCTACATGATGACTGAAAGGATCTTCACCTGAGGGATGCCCCTCAGCAGTCGACCTATGATCATGTTTCTATTATGACCTGCAG